TGTATTATTATTATTATTATAATTCCACTGTATGAAATATTATACATTGTAATGTTCGGTTAATCTCTAACAAGAAGCCTTATTCCACTCTGTACAGAATGACACATGACTGAAAAACCGGTTTGAGTGTTTACAGATGCACAAGCAAGTTTGTCCTTGGAGGGGTCACGGCAGGAATTAAATCCCGCATTAGAAATGTACATTCGGTGCTGACCTCATGAAGAAGTTACAAATGATAAAGCACATGCAGGTGGAAAAAAAGTTAAAGAGGTAGTGTTTGTTCTTAAAGGTTACTTTAATTCATTCTTTAACTGACATATAAGATGAATAACTCCTCTGACTGCCATAGGTGTGTATAAAAATCCGAGCGTGTGTGTGTGTGTGTTTTGTTTTAGAAGAACAGTTTTCCAGCAGCTGTGTACGTGGACGTACGAACGTTTTGGCTTTTTTTTTTTTTTTGAAAATGAAATACTGGAGAAAAACACTGGAGATGTTTTTCCGCTCCAGCTGCGGTTGACAGGATGGCAGCTAACATTCTGGCAAAGAGACAAAACATGACAACAATGTGACATGTCAGATGCAAAATAGAGCCCTTGCAGATATTTTCAAAGATACGGCCGGTGGTGCAGCATGAATGATTCCCATCTCTCCATCTCTGTTTTCACCACAGCTGAATGAAACTTCGTCACAGAGGAAAGAGAGTTGGCAAAATGTTAAATAAAAGACCATATAAATATTTAGGGGAAATACGCTTATTTACTTTCTTTGACTGAAGATTGATATCAGTCTCATATCTGTCTGTATAAACAGCCAGGAGACTGTTAGCTTAGCATAAAGACAGTCACAGGATGTTTTATATGATTAATGTGCTTTAAAAGTAATAATATGTAGGTTTTTTTTCACCTAAAAAGTACTATATGCTACTTATTTCCCCCGCTTACTGTTTTTATGCTAAGCTAAGCTAACCGTCTCCTGGCTGCAGCTTCATATTTAGCTTTATATCAAGCTAACAGTGTTGAAGGCTAACTCACTTAGCCTTTTTGATGCCTTCTAAATGTCTTTATTCAAATGGATGACCAATGTGTTTCATTTCCCTAAAAGGTCCAATATGTACAGTTTGTGTGTTAGACAATACAAAGAATGACTCGTTGACCCAATTGACAATTTAGATTACAAAAATACAGTAATCCTGTTTGTAAACTGTTTGAATCAGATGGTTTACAGAAAAAGGTCCATTTAGTAGCTGCAATGAAGCTTTCAATCATATCACATGATCTTCATCGGCAGATGGAGTTTGCACACTTTCCATGGAATATGTTGAAATTTCCATTATTTTTTTTAAGTTTCTGATCTATGTAAACCAAACAGTTGAAGCTCAAGGTTAATCTCCACCTGCCGATGATCGTGTGATATGACTAAAATACAACAAAATCTGAGGTTATTGAGGCATTTCAGAGAAACGTTGTCTTGTTTTGTCCTGATCTCCTGCTAAAACGAGAAATATTTTGAATATTTATCACGGGTGTGCACGACTTGAGACTAAATCTCCAAAAGCTTCAATTCACCGTGAAACATTGTTCAATAGCCTCATTGTTTGGCTTCAGCAGTGATGTGTTAGTCGGCAGAAAAATAAATGGCCTTTGGCCTGTACTGAGTCACTGCTGGACTGGTGCCTTCTCAATTGTCTCATTGTCTAAAATCCAAAAAGAAAAAAGAGCAGCCACTAACACACAGGATTCACACTCATTGTAATTATTAATTCCAACACGGGTGAGTAAGGAATAAAACACTGGGTCAAACATTTTGTGCAGGAGCTTTTAACTGCCTGTCTGTACTCTTCACCATGTTTCATTTCCTCCTCTGTCCTGTGCGTTCAGATAAAAAAAAAGCCCCAAACGCTCTAATCTCTTTAACCTATCACAGGCTAACAGCTCCTCTAACAGCTCCCATTTCCTACTGTTCACCTGGAATCAAAATAGAGCAACCGACCGAGAGAAGGACGCCTTTCGCATATCAGTGTCTCTCCTCCCAGCGTGCTTCAGAGGAATTAGGTCAGGGCTTGTTGGTAGTTATCTTTCTAAACCGGGGTCTTGCGTTGAGGCGACCGGGGGAAATGTGGGGGGGAAAGAATACGAGATAAAAAGGGGGATTGGATTTGTTATTATTACCCACCTCACAGACGAGCAATGTGTGAACTGTGCGCTTTGTCTTTTGAGTGGTCCTTAAATTGGAGTGATTTCCCTACGCAAACATGCCATATTTGGTGAAAGGCTTTTAGTGAGTCAAACAACCGGAGGAGTTTCGAGTATTTTGTTTTAGCCAATATTCTGTGCTTCTTCTTAAATTTCAGCTGCCAGTAAGGTTAAAGTGTTTAGCGGCGGCTGGGTTATCTGGCCTGCCAGAGAGAAGAAGAGGGAGAGGAAGGAGAAAAACGGGTGACTCATAGTCTTCCCCACCGCTGAAAGTACAGGTTACAGTTGAAAAAACACAAGGATGACAAAAGGAGGGCCCTGGCTTATAGAGTAAATGCCGCTGACAATGAAGAGGCTATTTTAGGGCTGAGTAAATAAGAGGCAATGTCATACTGTACCTACTGTAGGACACACACACACACAATCACACACACACACACTG